TGGTCATTGCCAATAAGCTGATTGAGTTGACATGTATATTTTGATGCTACCTAGTTACATTCAGAAGCAAATTCTTTACTTTTTACGAACTGCACTTCCATCTCAGATCATTTATGGAATCTTGTTAGACCACATTGATATAAGTTCCAAAGGAATACTCTAATTTTTTATGTCATTGTCTATCTGTCAGGTTTACTTGTAGATGAATTTCCTTTGAATACTTTTAGTGAACAAGTTTTAATGACTCTTAAATGGATAGACAGTCACATTGTATTACATGCGCCACATTGTTTTATCATTTCCAGATTTGTTTGATGGGATACTTTTCAAATTGTCAACTTGCGATTTGTGCAGCATAATTGGCAGTGTCCATCCTAATTTCAAAGGTGAATTGTTACAGTTTTGTCTTCATTTATTGGTATTAATTGAGTTATCATCATGAAGCTACATGTCTTCTTTTTATTTTCATATTAAGGCTCCTATAGGTACAAAGTGATCTGTGGAAAATAAATTACATTGAGAGTTGAAAAAGCTTGCATCCGGGATGGTGTTCCAAGTCTGCCGCAAATGCAATGCTGAGTTCTCTGGCAGTGAAGAGGAAGTTAAGAGGGCAAGTGCTGTGAGTCACCTCCTTTCACCTTTTAATCTCCAAGAATTTCAAATCCAAGAGTGCAGGTTCTGTTTTATGCAATGAATGAACAAACTTCTGCCCTACTTTCTGGTGAGAGTGGAATACATTCATAGTGAGGCTAGACAGAGACAATATTAAATTTGCACAAAGTTGCAAAGCATTTTTAGAGGAATGCACAGGCTCTTCTGACTTTTAAGTCTTTACATTTTCATACTAACAAAAAAAAAAAAAGTATTCCTCATGCAATTTTAAAGTGCCTATTTTGGCAATTTATTGCCACAAAAATAATTATAGACTTCAAGTCATGATGAAGGCAATCTAGCATGATTCATGAGATGTTATGTGAAATTTTGAAGACATGAAGAAGAAGGTGAAGGAGCTAAAAGATTCTGAATGCTTTGGATGGGTGCTTATGGTAGTGTATGTTTTGAATTAGAAAGCATTTTTGTTTGCCAGGGAATTGCTGTAATATTTGAAGTTGTTCACTTCTTTCCATTGATGCAGGGTCGTTTTATCAGTATTCAGCATAGCTAATGTTTCTATATCATTCATTGCACAATGTGCTGTCCCCCAGATTGTATGCTTTATGTTCTACAGGGTGGTTCCAGAAGTCATGCACCATAGACTGTATGACAAAATGGCTTAAGCTAATGTTCTGTCACATTTAATCACAGTATAGGTTCGATATGTTGTTTGTCTTGAAGAATTCAGAGTTCAATCCTGTTTTCCATGAAGTTTGAACAACCAACACTTCTGGAGTGATTGGCATGCATTCATAACTTGTTTGAGATGATTGACATCATGAATGTGCTCTGAGTTAACCATCGCTTTAACATGTCCCCACATGTAAAAGTCCAAGGGAGAGAGGTTTGGTGACCTGAACCTTGAACTCCTATAACATTCTGCTTACAGATGTGTGGGATATTAGTTCTTGGTCAGGATGTGATATGTTAAAACTTCTTGCTACTTCTCAATTACTTACACTCCCACACAACAGAATAATTTCCACCTGCTCATCTTCAGTTAATACCATAATTAATTATCTGTAACCAAAGAAAAAGTATATTCCATATTGTTAAAAAAAATTACATATGGTGTGTGACTTCTGGAACACCCTGTATTTTATATTAAACTGGAGGGAGATTAAAACAAGGCCAGTTTTCAAGAAGGGTTGGAAGCTTACTTTGTGCCAAACTTCTTCACTATTTGCTGAAATTATGCAACTTCCATTTGAATGAGTGACTATGACTTGCCATAGTAGATGTAGCATGAGCAAGTCAGCTTCTATTCTTTGGGGGATTATCTCCAATACATGGATCTGAATAGAAGAGGTTTCTCATTCTCAATGAAGTTTGTGTCTCTTGCATTTTGTTTAACACTATTCATCACTATGTGCAAATATTGCAAAATAAATTATGGATGCCTGTACACTCAAGCGATAATGGCTACCCCAGGTGACAATATTTAGGCAGGGACCTGAAGCACAGATAGGGAGTGGGATTACATGGCCAACCTGATCACATTCATTCCATGGAAAGGTCCATGGTATAAAGTTCCACCAGTATTTGCCACTGACTTGAATGCTCTTTTGTTCAGACAGGAAAGACTGATAATAGGAGTCACTTCATCAAAGTGCAAATATTTGTAAGAAGTCAAATATACTACATGGCATAATTATTGCTATTGCAGTTGTAGCTAGACATATGTCATTAAGAAGCAGCCCACAGTTCCTAATTCAGTGTGTTTCCATTTTCAAGTGGATTTTGACTAAGGAGAAGAGTATCCCTTAGAGTAAAAGCACTCCATTAAATTTATAGGCACATTTGGCAACTAAGAACTAGTTGAAGAGCCTGCAAGGAAAGAGAAAAGCAATGCTGGGAAGTTGTACCACTGTAAGGATACAAAGAAACATCTCTTCATTGCTGCTTAGTCCAGGAATCAAAGGCTTTACCTTTTATGTCATTCAGGTAATAGTGGATGTGACTTGAATTGGTTCCTGTTGGGCTGTTTAGCTGATGTTTCTTGAGTATCTTGAGAAATCATAGGTTTTTCTTTGGAGAATGCCATCTTGACCAAGATGTGTGAGCGTTGAAGATGCAACAAAGCCTTCAGCATTGCTTACTCTCTTCTGCTGCTGCAACTAGCAAAGTGAATCTGAAGATGTCAAGTAGAAGAAATGTCTATAAACTGGAAAATCTCTTCAGGGGGCCCTTTGTTGGGAGAAGATACTTGACCAGGAGAATGTCTTAGAAACTCAGGATGTCAATGTCAAGTAAAATTAAGTGCCAGATAAAACTGGAGTTCAGAGAGCTCCATCTCTGGAGGGCAGTATATGTACCATGTATCTCATCACAGGCCTGTGAATTTGATTAATGCAGTGAAAAGGATACATGGCTGGCTTGACTGTGATGAGATCAACTGGAATTTCCAGGTGAATTGCAGGCTCATGAGTCATTTTCATCCTTTGGCATTAGCCACTTTTGGGACCCAATGGTGCTGAAAAGCAGTTGGGCAAAAAATGTCCCATGCAGTTACTGTGGGATAAGGCTTCCCCAAGCAACTTTTCAAAGCCTCTGGATAGTTTTGAGATTTATTTTCTCAAACTTTTGCTGATTTGGTGTTGGACATGACTCATACATTCTGGATTTGGGTGGTAACATGAGAGAAGAGGGATTGAACATGAAGAAGATAATAAAGCCATGTTCTCATCTCCTTTGGCCCAATCATGACAAACATCTTCCCAGAACACCTATGGGGAAGCATCTTGGAACATCATCCTCTGACCAAACATGAAGATGTTTCTTCAGGAATCAATTTCTACAAGGAAATGATACAATTGAGGGATTTTCATCCCTTGGGATTCCATTGGCCGGTTATGGATATTTTGTCTTTTGATTAAAAAGGAAATATCTTGGTGGAAATCTTTTGCCAGCTGTGATGGCATTTCTTCAAGGATCAGCCCCCAGAAGGAATTGCTGATGAAATCAAGAGAAATACTTGGACATCTAGGATCAGTCATCCTCAAAGATCACCTCTCTCCGAAAGGAAGTTCATGAGATTGGGGAAGATTCAACAATGCCCAGCCATAATGGCAATTCTTCAAAAATCACTACCATTATAGTTTCAAGAGTCAACTGGCAGGCTTTGGTGATTCTCTACCAAATGTTACAGACTGCAATAGATGCTTGAGAAATTGAGGGAATTCCTTCACTCGAGTGTCAATTGCCCTACATCATAGGGTAGCTGTGATGTAGTCTCTCCAAGGAGTGCTCCCTCCAGTGAATGAAGTACTCCATTGGAATTCATTCAAGGTGGCAGTTCTACAAACATCATTCTCTGCAAGAAAGGCTCATGATCTGATGTGACTGAGCATCATCAAGAAACAAGAACTTTCTGGGTTCAATGGCTGAGGTGTTAGCACTTTCAGCTTGAACTCATGTGGTGAAGGATTCATTACAGTCAGTGATAAGCTTTTTTTTGCTGCCTACAGGCCACTGACTGCTTTATCATTCAAGCATAACACACACACTCTGCCCTGTGTGCCACATATGGGAGATGTGGGTGTGATCCACTTTGAAAATCATTTATGCCATTCATTGGCTTGTGCACCTCATTGAGCTGCCTCTATAGCCTCCTGTGCACCTTGGAGTGGGGTTTCCTCCTGAGGGACTGCATTTGAGTGTGGTGCCCAAGCAAACAGACAGCCTCTTCCTCTCTGTGTACTGTGTGCTGTGGTAGAAAATGTCTGTTGTCTCTTGTGTCCATTGTTTGTGTCGTCCTTTTAATATTTAGTATTGAAAGAGTGCATGTTCTCATTGAACATTTTTGACTTACAGGAAAGTTTTATGAGATGGAAATTGCTAACTTCACTGGTAATCTTTATGTACCTTCATTCAGAAAGAATCTGTCGAAGCAAACTAAAATTGTTTGCTGGAATCCTGGACATTTTTAATTTCTCCCAACTCTCCTTCTGGAATTTTTTTCTTCCTCTTTATTCTTGCTTTCTTACTCTTCATATAAACCGTTAATTTAAAAAGTAATGCTGATGAAATGCAGTCAGCTGTTACAATATCATGGTGTTGCTTGGTTTGCTATTGGCATTGCCAGATGGCTTCATTAATAACTTTTTTCACCATGCTCCCATTCCTGTGTAAATATGTTACTTCATGTCCTGCCTTGTCCTCACAGCTTCACGTATGCAAGAGTGGTTCAAATGGACGTATAGAACTTGAAAAGCAACGAAAGCTGAGCCCAGCAGATCTCAAGAGAGCCCTCAGACTAGGAAAAGGATCCCCATCAAGACGTCTAAAGAGCCCTTTGGGGCGCCTTGGAGGTCCTCCATGGCATCCTAGAAACTCCATGCATCAAGATGGAAGCCTGCCTCATCACCATGGAACATCAGAACATCACACTGGCGGCCTTCTTCGTCACCGCAGAAGCCCTGCATTTCGGCGTGGTGGCCCCCCACACCACCCTAGAGGCCGTCCTCTGCATCATCTCAGAACTCCCCCAAGGCATCCAAGAAACCCTTTGTCCCACCCTGGAGGCCGTTTTGGTCATCCCAGAGTTTCCCAGTCCCGATTTCCAGAGAAACAGGAGTGGTATCCTCCAAATCCTGATTCTCCAAAAAGGAGACAATCATTGTCTCCCCTGGGAGATATGAGGTTCACAGATCCAGGCCTTCGCTTCAGGTCCCGTTCACCTATCAACAGGTCAGAATTCCATGACTCGATGGATGGAGGATATGCAAACCCTGAAGACCGGCTTTACTCCCCCAAAGTGGACATTCCTCCCCATGAGGAAGAGTTTTTCATCCAGGCACAGCAAGAACGCTTCATGCTGGAAATGGAAGTTGAGCGGCAACGGTTCTTGACTCGAGACGTGGACATGTTGCAACTCCCTGATTTTCCTTCAGAACCATTTGCTAGGGGGACAAACTTACAATCCTTCAGTTCCATGAGAAGAAGATCTAGATCCAGGAGCCATTTATCTGGCAAGGTCAAAGAAAAGTACCCAGAGATGGAAATGAGGAGGAAAGGGAAAATTATGAAAAGAAGTAATAATTTTGCCCAGAAAGAAGAGAATCTGGAATTTTCTAGAAAGCTACAGATGGACAAACGAACTGCATCTTCCAAAGGGCATGATAGGCCTGTGAAGAATCAGAAAGAGTCTTCTTTTTCAGGAAAAGACAGAAGGGAGAAGAGCCCCAAATATGAAAGAAACCAATGGTGCACAAAGGCAGAGAGCAATCATCCTCGAGGATTCTCCCCTCCGGCACACTGGCATTCTAAGTCGAGTCATCATTTGCAAGACCCACCTTCTCCAATATATCAACGTGTTGATCAAAGGCAACGTCCTCAAGGATCGTCCCTTCTGGTACAGCAACTTGATGATACTCGCTCCATAAGAGAGGTCAGGCATCGAAGTACATCTCCTGACTTTCAGTACAGGACTGTAATTGCTGGGGTGAGAGCTGCTACATATACCAAATTTTCCATTTGTGCACTTTTTAGTTAGATATAGTTTCTTCATTTGAGTCTCTCTTGATTAATCCAGGACTTCAGTGAGAAGGTTCTCATCACCATCCATCAAGATGTTCCCAAGAAACCAATTAAAGATCATGACAAAAGCAAAGTTGGAGAAAGTTGGAGTTCCTCCAAGTCTGCATTCTGTCCAAACTGTGATGCCCATTTTGAGAGCAATGGGGAAATGCAAAATCATTTGCAATGGTGTTCCACAGTGAAGGCCAAGGTGAATAGTTCTTGCATATGTTGTTTCTTTGCTTGAATTAAACTTTTCTCATATTTTTATTGTGTACTTGCAAGATTTTAGGCCTTGGTTTCTCTTTCAAACATCACCTTTTTATTTGACTGTGAAGGTTCAAATTCAAATCTTCCCATCCCAGGTGGCCAAGAAATCTCCTACTCCTAAGTCAAGCAAGCCCCGCTTTGAGGAGAGGCATGGGTCTCATGAAGAATCAAGAGGTCCCAAGAAGCTTATTGTTGAGTTGAAACCAGATCTCTCTAAAGATTATTCTCAACAGGATTGCCATCAACATCATGAGAAGCTGTGTTCAAGATCATCTCAAGCAAGTAAGACAGGGGGAAAATCCACACTTAAAAAAGGAAAGCCAGGGAAGACTGAAGCAAAGCCAGGAAGATCTCTAGTTCAGAGTAAACATGAGGAAACTAAGAAGCTGACCTGTGATTCAAAAGAAGGCGGGTCAGGAAATCCTCGTGCTTTATTTCGTAATGAGAAGATACTGCCTAAGGAAGGCTGTGCCTTGCAACCGAGCAAAGAGAAACAGGTTCTTTCAACTTTGAGTGCTAAAAAATATTCATCTGGAGAGGATTTGGGAAGAGTGGATAGGAGCTCATCTGTCTCACATCGCATCATAGGTGCTTCTAAAGAGGCTGAACTTCATGGAAAAGCGATTGCTGATGTGCAACTTCAAGGAAGACATGACAGTAAGCAGCCTCATGGAAGACTAAATGATGACCCATCTGGCAGAAGAATGAATGCTGATAAGCCTCACAGGATACCTGGCATCAATAAGCGGCTTCACAATAGACCAGATCTCAATAAACGGGCTTTACCTCCATCAGTTCATGGTGCTGAGCCTGCTTGGAAACCTGTGACTCCAAGTGACTCCTTGATTCCATTTCGTGAGCCATTTGGCCTTTCAGATGAGGCACACCACCTTGGCAATACTACATTCAAGCATGATTATAAACAAGAAGAGCCAGCAAAGTCAAACACACATAAGTACAAGCAGGAGCCGCAACATCTTCTCGAGAAGTCTCATCTTAGGGTGTCACACGTGAAGCCTGAAGCAATGCCGAGACAGCCTCGTACCTATGAAGGAAGAAGTGTGATGAAAAAGTCCTTCAATGAAGCTGGTTTAGAGTCTCGTCAAAGGCCACCAGTTGTCAAGCTTGAAGAAGTTTCAAAATACTCCCGTGTCTATGAACCAACCAGTGTCACAGAACCCCCATTTCAAATTGGGGAAGCATGGCGTCCACCTTTTTCCAAAGAAGGCCACACATCAACACGGATTGAGACCATACCTCTGGGAAGTCTGCCTGGAGTACCATTGAGGAAAGAAGCTGGAAGGAGATCCAAGATAGTCACTGACCCTCTTTTGCTTCCCAAGGAAGAGAGTTACCGTAATTTTGAGGAACGCCAAGTGATGCCACAGAGAAGCTACATAGGTGATATAACTGGGAAGGTGGCACATGGTCGCTCAGGGAACTGGTCCACTTCTAGTCACCACAGCTCATTGGAGACTCTCTCCAAAGAAGTGAGTTCATTGTGATCATGACAAAGAAATCTCATTTGGAGGCTGGCAGCAGTAATAAATGGTAGAAATAACTGGTTAAGGTAGTGCAAGAGAAAGAAACAAAGCTCCATAATGGCCAAAAGTAATGAAATATGGACTACTTTGGAAATATTATGCAGCTGAGGGCAAGTAATAAAATAAAAGGGAAGAGTAAGATGGAGCACAGCAAAGCAGTTAGAAAGTATTAGAAAGAAACCATTTCTCTGTGGTTTTTCTTGAATATAAGCTGCTCAAGGAATTATGTTTAACATTAAGTACCTTTACCTGTATGATTTGTGTATCTTGTGCTAGGAAGAAGCAAAGAGCATCCAATGCTCCTACTGCCAAGAAGTGATCCATGGGCCAGGGAATCTCCTTGGAAGGATCTACTACAATCATCTCATGAAGCATGTATCATCCCGTGGGGGACAACCCTTGCCAGAACTCAGTCAGGGCACGCTCTATGATCGGCGCCCTTAATATATACCATACCCTAGTACCATTAAAAATGAATTATGAGGCATGAATTAGCTTAGTGAAAATGCTGTCATTGCTTCAGATGAACAAAATGTTTCTCATGCTCCTGTGCATGAAGAAATTTATGCACTTCACTCAATACCATATATGTGATTGATATACTGGCAAGGTTTTTTTTTTCCCAGTTCTTTCTTTGAGCATGAGGATGTAGTTTGCTTACATTGATATCATGATTAGCTTGACATTTTGCAAGACATAAGCTTTTTCTGTCTCTTACTATCAATTCTCTTTCTTGTATGAGTAACTTAAAATAGAATAATACTATTGTTGATCTGGATTTCCAATAATCAGGTAGTTGGGCATTATTATGGCTAATGTATGAATAAAGTTGTTTATGGGCAGGTTGGCCTGCTTCCAAGAGTGCCGGACTCACCATTGCTGCACATAAACACTGGGATTAAATCTCTTCTGTTGTGATACTGTTATGAAGTATTTGGTTAGTTTCATGGGCCAATATGTGCTGGTGCACTAGAGGTTTCCTACCTTTCTAAAAATAAAAGAAAAAGTGTGGTACAATCAATGTACTATGTCTATTGAAGGATGTTGATTCAACATACCAGGGACTCACTGTATGGGATAAGTGTCCCAGAATGGACTGTGTAAATATCAGCTTGCATCTATGGTATATTTGTTCAGCCAAGTGTTCAAATAAGAGCACTCCACCATGGCATCAAGTTTGGATTTGATCATCAAGATGTCTACATGTCAAAACTGAAAGAGAAGATGGACCAAGTTCCTGCTCTTACATCTTACGCAAGTTTGCATTGGAATATTCAGGGAATACAACACTTGATGGGACAAGGCTACCAAAAATAGCATTGTTATCATCACATCATCACCTACCCTAGCAAGAGTTCCATGAAGATTGTTCACAAGATGAAGAAATAAAGAACGTGAATTTGTAAACTGGAAATAATACGTCCATGGCTAAGGAGACTCAGCCAATCTCCAAGCCACCTCTAATCAACACTGAATTCTACTATGATTTAACAGGGATGACCCTGTCTTGCACAGAGCAACAGATGGAAATAGGGAAAGGTCATGCTTGCCCTAGTTATGAAGGCTGGAAGACCAGTGGATTTACTTCATGTGTGCCTGTCACCTGATTTCTCTCAAGAATAATGAATTAATAGTAAGGCCAGAGATGCAGGGGATGTTCATAATAAATCTTGGTGGAAATTTTATGAAGGGTTCAAATTGCTAAGTCATAGACTTGTTGCATCATTATCTACTATAAGTATTGTTCATGACACATGACATATTCTATTCTACCTTTGTTGTATGAAAATGGAATCTTTTATTTTGAGTGTGATAACTGAAAAGAAAATAGGTATGTGAAAGAGTGCTACAGGATTTCTGTACATCATACATGAGACATGGATGCTTCTTTCAGGATAGCTGCTTGTTGTCTATGTATACAGGGTTAAAAAATTCTCAGTTGACAAATTTTGGAAATTTGAAGGTGAAGTTGCAGTAACCATTATGTACATCACAATCAAAATTGTGTTTTCAACAAGAATAATTGGATTCCTTTTGTGAAATTCAGCTTCCTTAATGAACTTCTGTACTTCCATGCTGGAATTCATGAAGAGAGCTGAATTTTTCTTTAAGATATGGCCATCTTGATGAAAAATGTATTTTCAGGCATTGTAAATGGGATATCATTACTGAGGTTTTTGGCAAGTCTTCTAAATCAAAAATAAGTATGACTATGTGTGGCTGATGTGTGGGACAATCTGAGGTGCTTTCCTTGGGAAACTTATGAAGGAAGAATGTGTAGTCATGGGGCATTACTGTACTACTCCCTCTATGCTCTGTCAGAGCACCTGGTCTCACACCAGAATGCAGAGGTCTTTATCTTGGTTAGGGATGTTTGTACTGAATGAATGTCTTGGTCACCTCTTCACTACATGTGATACTGTTTGCTGTTCATAGGCTTGAAGGCAGTTGGAGACAATGAATGAGCAGCTTGGGAGGCCTTTTTCTCCAAATGATTTGAAGGCTTTTCTCAATGATCAAGTCATGTTGGATCAGCACAACAGGTCACGTTCTCCTTTGCACTCTGATAGAGAAAATTCAAGAGGTGATTCTTTTCGGGGAGTGGATCGAGACTCATCAAGAGGCAGGCATCTTGCTGTCAACAGAATACCCTGTTCTCAAAAGAGTCTTGAAACCAGAGATTATGGGAGACGACTTGAGAGGTCGAGGTCACCTGGCAGAATTTACAGAAGTAGGTCAGGGTCAATGAATGATGATAGAAGAGGTCACGGTACGTCTCCTGAGGTGTTCACAGAGGGACTTTCCATCCGTCGGAAAATAGGCAACCATGTGTTGGAACTGCGGCCAGGTGTGGTTCTTCCTGGAAGGGACCAGACTGAAGAACGAGGCCAATCGAAAGAAGCACCCCAGGCTGATCTTTTTCGCTTTGGTCAAGTTGGCCTTGATCAGCTTGATCGGACTAAATCCAATTTGCAGCTATTAGATCCAATTCAACAGTGGCCCCCTGCAGTACTTGAGGAGCATCGAGACCAAGCAAGCTTGAATGGCATGGAACAGTTGACCTTCCAACAGTTACAGGCATTGTCCAATTTGTCCCTGCCTCTTACTCCCCAGATCAACCCAGCCCAGTTCTCCCTTGCTTTGTTGGGTTTGCCTATCCCTCAAGCAGGTGTGGCTCCTCCACCACAACTAGAGGGATCCTTGGGAGTCAATTTCATGAACCTCTCAAACATGGAAGGCCAAGCCTTGAATACATGCAATAGCCAAAAACAACCAATGGACTCAAGGATGATGATGGCTGAGAAAAGGAAGCGTATAAAGAAAACAAGATGGGAACCAGAAGGGGAGATTTCAGGCAAGACGCAAGTAGGTAAATTCAATGGCCCGCCTCCTTGTAAGCTTCAGCCTGATTTCTCCCGCCGTGATCGTGATCGTTCGATGAATCGCTCCTCTCGAAACAGAAGCCCCTTCATAGATAAACCCTCAGAGGATAAAATATCCCAAAGTCCTTGCACCTTGCAGGATGATCAACTCAGAGATCATTCATCCCACCAGGCCAATTCAGTATCACGTCATGGTGATACTCTTTCATCTGGAGGCTGTAATTCTCCCTTGAGGAATTCTGGAGAAGATAGCTGTAGAGAACAGGGCCAAGACCACTCTTCCTCAAGAAATGGTACTATAACACACCATGAAGATAACTGTACAACTGGGAACCAGGGTTCACTCATTGACCCCTCTCAAGATGTGCACGCAAGAGGTGAGCAGACTCCTCACATCTCTTCAGATGATAAGTCCAGTGAATTTCATTCCTCACAAGATGACAAATTATTTCACCATGGGGGTGATGATCATTCATCAGAAACCCATCCCTTGTCCATGGACCCCTCTCAGGATGAGCATTCAGGTGGTGTACACCCCCAGGGTCTTGGTGTCTCTAATGATGATCAATCCAGAGATCATAATTTGTCCCTGGATGATCAACCATTGTCCCAAAGTGAGAGTAATGCAGGGAGAAGTCATCATTCATCTCTCTCCCACACTTCACAAGCCTCTAGAGATACATTCTCAGCAGGCAAACAATCTCGAGATTATAATTCATTAGGAGATCTTTCAGATCAATCTTTGCGGGAAAATGGCTTCCCCAATCGTGTTGGCAATCGTATAGGCCTATTGGGAAACCACCCTTCAGATGTCATCCATGCTGCACGTGATGGCAGTCGTGTAGGCCTGTTGGGTAACCATCCTTCACCCCTTGCCAATGCTCCATATGGTGGTAATCGTGTAGGTCTATTGGGAAGCCACCCTTCCCCTCGTACTCGCGAGTCACAAGCCGTCTCTTCCGAGTCAAGATGGAAACAAAATGAAAAAGATGCTCCACCTCATTTGAAGGACATGAAATACCAAAGATCTTTTGCCAAGAATAATGTAGGTAAGAGCATGTCTAATGAACCCAGAACTGATGTTTCACCAGGAATCAAGAAGCTACCTAGGCACATCTCAGAACAGCAGGACAGAGAACCCCAGGAAATATCTAGAAAGGATCACTCCAGCTGGTCAGAGAGAGAGGAAGCTAAGGTACAATCAGTAAGTATGATATTTATTGGTTTTATTCATTCAAAGGGATACCTAGTGTCAGGTTTTCTTCAGATAGCATCGTGCTACAAGGTCAGGTAGTATGTATAACATAAATGCTGAATCCTTCAAGAGTGCTTTAGCATGTTCATTGCTCTAAATCTCTTTCCAACTTCCCTTGTATATGCTTCAGATATTTGTAAGGTCAAGGCTTTCAATCTTTCCATATGGCATCATCTTTGGTCCATTTGTGCAACCCATCACAGGGCTCACTAAATGACCTTGAATTTCAGGAGAGCCTCTTGGTGTCAACAGCTCTGTTGTTAATTTATCCCTCTTAATGCTATGGTTTCCAGCAAAGAATGTGCACATGCTTGTTTTTGCTGAAAACTTAGCATTTTACCAAATTTGCCCAACACTGCTCTCTTAGTCCTGTAAGGAACCAGCAGTAAGAAAATTGTGCAGCCAATAATATCTGCCCATGTCAATTATTGCACAATCAGGGCAGAGTTAAAATGTCAACCTGTGGCACTAAGAGGTTCAATTATCAGATGTTTTTCTATTTCTTGAAAGATTCTATTTTCTGTGAAAGTGCTAAGCCTAGAATTTAGTCTTCAAACTGATTTCAGCAGTCAACATGTTAAAGTAACCATTAAAATAAAAGTGCTTCTGTTGTCAGAAGCAATATCCATGCCACCTGATTCTCTGTGAATTAGCAATTTGGGTCAACATTTGTTTGCCTGTCCCTTTTCTCACATTTACCTCATAAGCAAGAGAAGAATACAGGGAGTTATTAATAAGAGGTTTGCTTCATCAACCTCATCCATAGCAGAATGACTTCTAGTGATATCTCATAGGTGGGCTTCTGCATGAATCTTTTAGTTATGTGTGAAATGAGTCACTATACCTGCATAATTTCTCCAGTCATATCTTCCTCCTGGATGCTTTCAAAATTCCACAAATATGTTGGATGACAATTAATTTGTCTTATCTCTTGAGATGCACTGGTGGTAAGTTCACCTCTGTCCATGTGTGTCTTAACACGTTGGCGACAATGCATCCTGATGCCAGGATGTAGATTTTTTTCAATGAATACCCTCTGGAACTGTTGAGAACGTTCCAGAAGATTATGATTTCGTAATTACTGATAAAAATTCCAAAAAATACAACATTTTAAAAAAACTTGGCAAAAAAATGTTTTCTGGGACCATGCGTCCTGATGGCAGGACGCATTTTTTGACAAAAAAAATGCGCGTGGTCCCACGCGGTGGACAAGCAAAAATAGGCTGGTCGTCAACGTGTTAAACTAAACTGTAATTTTTGCCTTTTCTCCTCCAACATTAAAGATTTGCAGTAATCATGAACTTCGTGCTTGAAAGAATAAATGCTCATGAAATGTTCAGGGCTTGAAAAAGAGTAGTGCATGGTCAGAAAGTCCACACTTTCACTGAGGCAAAAACCTTCATTGTGACAACCTCTGCCATTTGGACACCACACCACGCTGAAACATTGGCATTTTATTCCAGATTGGAACTTGTTGTTGTTTATCTCCAGAAGAATATCAGTTTGAGCATTTATTCCTATTCTGGCAGGTAGCACTCTGTGCTTGCAGAGCTATATTTTTGAGACAAGTGACTTTTGGGCCACTTCGTATGAAGAAAAAATATCAAAACCAAATGACCAAAAAGGAACAATAAGGAAGAGTAATATGATGAGTTTTTCCTTCTGTTTGCTGTGGGTGGGGGAGGCTGAATGTGAAGAAAGTAACATAAGCCCTTTGTTCAGTGTTCCTGATTTCCGGAAGTTCAGAGGACTTCTTGTAAGCACCACATTAAACTCAAATTTAATATTATTTTTGGGACTGTATGTTGATATTCCATAAAGAAAGTAAGTGACCTCCAAAGTAATGCTTCTGATCTGAAGATAAGATGATGCATGAGTGATCCACTTTTAGTAATATTGTCCTGACTTGGAGTCATTCTCCCTTGCTTATGAATAAGTACTGATGTCTCTGCAGGAAAGGCAGGACTCCCACAGGGTTTCCTGCTCCTACTGTGGGAAGACATTTTTGACACAACACAGCAAACAGCTGCACCTGCGTGTGTGCACTGCAAAGCGAACTGCCATGACCAAAGATCAGCGGAAGCCAGAAGAGAAAGAATCCAAAAATTCATTGGCAGAGGCTGAAGATCTTCACAGGCAGTTTGATGCTATTGATGCCTTCTTGGGGTCCTCCAATCAACAGGAACAGAAGACAAGAAGTAATGCAACACCTATCTCATCTGCTACACATCAGTCTATGTCTGGTATTGGAGACTACCCAGGCTTCACCCAGGCCAAAGGGCCTGATATCTCTCCATCTATCCAGACAGTCTCTGAAATCTCGAAGGTAAATTCTTTGATGGGTATTATTATTAGGGATGAAATGATACCAGGGATGAAATTCTGTATGTTAGTAATTCACCTTTTGATATTAAATGACCAATATTTGATAACTGATATGAAGGAACCAAATTTTGGTCACTTAAGTACGTAGACTTTCATCTATAATTTAAAGTACACAAAAGTTTTAGTATTTGTTCAAGTCGGACTTTCTTAATCCTCTTTAATCTCTAATACCTTATGCCCCAGACTGTTATTTTATTACTCACTGACAACACTGTAATGCATGTGGCAACACTGGGTTAGTGGCGATTGCTGTAACCTATCAGTGCATGTCTTAAGTCTGTGCAGTAACAAACTTGTCATGATACTTGCAGTGGTTGCAGAGCAGTACCACTTTACCTAAAGTACTGTTAGGGGCACTCATGAAAAAAATCAAACTCAAAGAAAAACCAACTGATTAACCGGTTAAGACAATGTTGTTCTGTTTCTTCGACTGCAAAGGAATAGTGCATGGTGAGTTTGTTCCTGCTGGTGAAACAGTCAACCAGCAGTTTTATCTGGAAGTTTTGAAATGTCTGAGACAGCGGGTTTGTTGTGTGAGGCCAGAATTTTCCCCGTTAAGTGGATTTTGCCCCACGATAATGCACCATCACACACTGCACTTTCCATTTAGGAGTTTTTGGCAAAGAAATCAATTACAGTACTTGAACACCCCCCTTATTCACTGGATCTCACTCCATGAGACCTTTCCTTGCTCCCTAATGTGAAGAAACACATCAAGGGAACACATTTTGAAACCGTGGAAGAGATTCAGAAGGTAACGATGGGCGTTCTAAACATCTTGCAGGAGATTGACATCCAGAAGGGCTTTGACATTTGGAAAAAATGCTGGAATTCATGTATAGCTGCAAGAGGGAACTGATATGAAGGAGACCACCACAGTTTACAATAGTATAAAATATATAGCTATTAAAAAATACAGTCTCATTATTTTGTCAACTCAAAGAAAAACCAACTGATTAACCGGTTAAGACAATGTTGTTCTGTTTCTTCGACTGCAAAGGAATAGTGCATGGTGAGTTTGTTCCTGCTGGTGAAACAGTCAACCAGCAGTTTTATCTGGAAGATTTGAAACGTCTGAGACAGCAGGTTTGTTGTGTGAAGCCAGAATTTTCCCCGTTATGTGGATTTTGCACCACGATAATGCACCATCACACACTGCACTTTCCATTTAGGAGTTTTTGGCAAAGAAATCAATTACAGTACTTGAACACCCCCCTTATTCACTGGATCTCACTCCATGAGACCTTTCCTTGTTCCCTAATGTGAAGAAACACATCAAGGGAACACATTTTGAAACCGTGGAAGAGATTCAGAAGGTAACGATGGGCGTTCTAAACATCTTGCAGGAGATTGACATCCAGAAGGGCTTCCTGTAAACCTTTTTTACGACCTTAAGTACATATCGACGTTCTCCCTTGACTATACTTCCTCTGGTGGTGTCAAATGTTATCATATTTTATATATCGATAATTTTTTATGTCAGAGTAATAAAACAGTGACCTCATATGTAGTCTATACATTCCATATCAAGGAACTCAAGAGCCTATTCTTAATCCAGATTCTGGTAAATAATGGAGCCAACAGTGTTTATTATAGTAAGTGGGGTGAAGGTTCCTACATGGAGTAATTTGTCCACCTTTCATTCTTATGTACTTTTTCCATGGAGACAGTAATTAATTAATATTACTATTACTATTAATCAACGATACACATACGATAGTCACTCCGTCCAAAATACAATTCATTGGTCATGACAACTTCCTATTGGAAGGCAGTTCCAGAGGTTCAGCAGTGGTTTTTTGTGGGCACATTCCTCCCACTTACTGTATCTGAGGAGCATTGGCATCAGTAAGTTCAAGGAAATATTTGCCAATATCTGATATCATTACATCCCTACATATTATGGGGTCACGCAAGACCAGTAGGACAGAGGTCCCATTGGAACCTCATGGCCTTGGCACTCAGCATCACTGCTTACAGTACATTAATGTTGCATGCTGAGGTTCAAATAGGTTTTATGGGGAGAGTGTTGTGTATTTTGCTTTCTAGGTATTTCAACCAGAATAATTTTCTCAGAGATATTATTTCCTGCTACTCTTTCATCTTCCTGTGCTTGATGCGGATAGATGTATCAGAAATTGTCTGAATGGGTAATTTCTTCCTTCACTTGGTTTGCTTGTTCTGTCATGTTCCACCAGACAACCATGACGAAATGAGACAGAAGTATATTGCTTCTTTCTCTGCCTTATGAGAAGAATTCCATAGGCATGTCCTCTCGATGCTCTGAGTCAAGACTTGCTGTCTATATAGGTACATACGTATGCACCTACCCTTCAAATGGGGATACTGTATTATGAGTTGTGTAATTTGAGAGTGATGTGCACTCCTTTAGGTAAAATGTTGATGGTGCTCTTTGTCTCCTTTAGCTGAAAAGTGAAACTTCCATACATCTGGTTAGGCAGGAGCATGGAAACAGAAGAATTTTTTATATTTAAAAAATCTGTGGTCCTGGTTGTTCTGGCATTGGTAAGGTTAGGGAAGATATTGGATTTATATTGAGACATCTGCCTGAGTCCTGCTATTGTCTGCAGTTACCTAAGGTGCCTTCTCTTTGTCCATGATGACTCTGAGTCTCACTTGGTCTATTTTTGAATGGATGGTGAGATTCCTCTATGTTGACTTGGTCTCTGAGTGGTGAGCTCAGGTTCGCCACTTAGTTTGCACTGCTAAATTTTGTTGCAGCTTCCACTTGATCTATGAATGATTAGTGTTATTCCATCGCACCATTGAGTTCTTCCTTCAAAGTGGCTGTCTTTTCAAGCTTCTATGGGTAACTTTGTTCGTGTTTTCACCTGATTTCAGTATATCCTCAACATGTGTCAAAATGGCACTGTCAAAGTGTTTCTATACTCATTCCTTCATACAAAATATCAATGTGTACAAATGGCAAGACCACTGAACATTCCAGAGTGGAATTCAGCTATCAATGGATCTCAAGGTCAAAGCTTACACCATGTTAGTGTCCAAGCCTCATTCCATCATCTGGTCAGACTTTATTTGTGTCAAAATGGCATTCTGTTATGTCATTAGTGGTGACATGCTAACAGAGTTTACAATTAGAGATCGACCGATACTGGATTTTGCCGATTCCGATATTGGCCGATATATGAAGCCGATACGATATTTTCAGATATTTCAGCATAAAACCATATTAAAGATTCATCAGCACCGCTTCATTTACTTCAAATTTTCCCGTATGAAGAGTAACTTTTCAGCATTTTCCTGGTCTCCCTTTCATGGAATATCTCATGAAATACTCCTGTAAGATGTACGCATACCAGCATGAAATCTTCTAAGAGGAATTCTTGAGCATACCTTGATTGAAGTGCTGACTGTTGCAGTCCTACTGGTGATGGATCAGAAGCAGGTCTTGAACCTAGACCCACAACATCACCTATGGGGCCTTGCTTTCCACTTGGTTGGCTTGCAGGCTGCTTTTAAATTTCCGTATATTCCTCCCTTGTTTCCTTTCATTTCTCACTTTGGCAACTAATGACCTCAAGCTAACATTTACATGACAAAGAACAGCTTCTTAGAATCTTTATCCACTCGAAAAAATCTCCACGAATTTTGGTGTAGGTAGATCGCCATTCCAACTCGCCCCCCCCTCCAGTCCAATTTTTTCCCGTTCACTTATTTGACAAGAAGAACAGAAATGTGTCTGAGACACTCTGGAACTGGTTACTTAACGAATTGGGTAAGCGACAGGTAAAATTTTTGAAAGGGTGCTTCGTCACTTTTTCTCGACGGCTGAGTCTGACTTGGTATCGATGTCTGCGTCGCGAAAGAGTATGGTTCTCTCGTGGTTGAACAGGGGCGGGTCTTCAGGACAAGTTTAGGCCAACGCTCACGCAACGTTTTAGCTTACGTTTTAGAACCTGGTTAAATGGAACGTAACGTAAGGCAGCAGGCCAAAAATTATATACTAGAGCTTAATCCTTGGAGAGGGTCAGGAAACGGCAGGAGTCCTCCTCCCCGTGTCTGCGAATTAAATTAACAGCCCTCGTACTTTCGGACAATCAGCGAAACCTAACCCTTAGGACGAAGGTCTATCGTTTTAACAGTTGAATTTCCCGTAGCCGTGAATACGCCTAACTTCTATGTACGAGAATAAGAACGGAAGCAGAGCGAAAGACTTGCAGTTCCTCGCCTCTCGATGATGCCATATTGGCCAGAACACTAATACGCCAAGGTTTCCATTTGGAAGCGGAAGAGCTAGTCCTAGTAATATTTTCTTGCACTGGAAGATTATACAGAACTGTATTATTGATATCGGCCAAAATCGGAATGCATGAAAGAGCCGATGTGAATACTCACCGATATGCACATATCGGCCGATTTATATCGGTTGATCTCTAGTGTAACTGTGCCAGTGTAACTGTTGAAAAAGAACATGTGTGCCCCTCATGTTGAGTAATGAGCACTTCTTAAAGTGATACTGCAATTTCTACAAAATATTGGTCAGCCTACCTTAGGATTTGTCAGTCTTCTTTTCAGGCTTGATGGTACTATGCCTAATACAGTGCATATGACTTTTATTTATCATGTGTTGAATGTATCTGGTTTTTACTCTTCTGCCTATGTTGGAAAATGGCAGAAGAGGATGGATGCATTTTTCCAATAGGTCTAGGATGCTACTGGCTGGAATCACACCCTGGCCACTGCAAATACCTCTATCTGTTCATGATTGCTAGCTCATTACCCATCATCCTACCAATTATGTTAATTTTGTAGTTTCTCAGTACTTTTCCATTTTTATCTCGAGCTTGGAAAATGTATCATGGTTGGAGTACGGAAATTGTCTTGACTACTGAAAGGAGGAAGAAGTAGGTTGGCTTTTCGTGTTATTGCAATGCACCTAAAAATGCTTGCTTCCGTCACATATACTCTCTTTTCTCACCTGAGTTCCAGCATGCTAAAGCCATGTAGTTCAAGTTGGTCTTGTGTGGAAAGTGTGTTCATTATGTCTCCCAGATTTCTCAACCGCATTCGTTGTTTCAGAGCACATGTCTCCTTTCCTTATATCTACTTGTGCATTTATGTGGATAGGTATGCCAGAATTGGTCAGCATGGGTAGTTTCTCCCTTTAATTGGTCTGCTGGTTCGGTCTTGTCCCACTCGTCCCTGTGGCCATCAGTGGCCGATGTCTATTGTTTCTCTCACTGCCATGCACTAAGAAACCATAGGCATATCATTTTCCAAATGTTTGTCTTATATTGTCATTTAGTTGTGCAGTTACTCTCTCTCCAGTGGGAGCCCTGCAATGAGTTGTATGATAGTGTGGTGTGCACTCATATTGAACTCATGATCCCTGGCATGGAGAATGCCTGGTGTATTTTCCTATGTTCAAAACTGGCACAAGCTGTAACACATTGGCTGTCAGGTTCTGTGAGTCAGCTTTGCTCTTCAATGCTCTGTCGACCACATTGGCTGACATGGAAGTTGAAGCAATAAGCAGGTATATGCAGGTATATGATAAGTTCATCATCAAACATAAACCATGAATTTAAGTTCTCCTGAATGGTGAAGATTCATTTTCGACTCAGCATTCAGTTAAATTCATCGATGCCATCGAAGATGCTTCGTTCAATTGATTGTTGCTTAAAAAGAGAAAAAAATTGACTCATCCCAGGACTGGGGTCATTGCTTGGGTAGTAGTGGCTTATGTAACTGAGTGGGTAGTACTATAGACCTTGAAACAAATGATACATTTCATTATAGCACAGCAACCGCATCTGTGAAGGGAAGTGTTTAGTCAGGTTTACTCTAGGTTTTTCTCACATTCATCTTGAGTCAACAGCAAATAAAGCTGTTGTTTCCACCCATACTCTTTTTCCTCGATGTTCCCATATTTTGTCCAAGTTTCACATTTGTACAGCCTGTGGTAAGTATCTGTTAGCGTTTCTGGTAGATCATATCATGAGAGGAACTTTTCTACCACTTTTTTAAATGAACTAGAACAGCATAGTTGCGGCTGTTTCTGTGAATGAGTTACAAGGAGCAGCAACAGATTACAGTTTCCCTGCACTTCATTTTTCTACTTCCTGATGTATTTCTCGCCCAGCTCAGTCTGCATTTGCAGTTTATCACCATGCAAGGACCCCTCTTATTCTTGTATCTAGCTTTTGGAAGATTTTCTTTCAGCTTTTGAGAGCGTTTCCATCGACTTGAAGCTGTCATCCCTCATGTCAAACCTCAAGGTTATTCCCCTGGAATTAACTCTCAGCTGGCTGGATTGGTATGACAAGATACAGCAGCATAAAATGGTTACCGTATTGGTTTTAATTCTTCCCATTTCCTCAGAATTCAGCTGTTCATGAATCTTATGAAGGTGCACCATTTTTTAATAGTTGTTCGTGACCCCATGGCTTCTTTGATGATGTCTTGCAGGGAGGTTCCTACGCTGAAACGGAGATTCACTGCTCACACTGCTCCAAAGTCTTCCACGGCCCTCAACCCCAAGTGGGTCGTATTTACTTTGAGCATCTGCTCCTGCACAAAGCCGAGAAGGAAGTGGCTCAACTGGCTCAGCCAGTCTCCATTAATGTTACTGCAGGAGGAGAATTAACACCCATGAAGTTGGAAAACTCTCGAGCAAATTCACAAGATACAGAGTTTCGTACAGCGCAACGAGATTCCACTGCGCAGTTCTCTAGATCAGCATTTCCAAAACAGGTGCAATCTAAGCCTCCATATCCAGGTAACCGGGTCTATGAGTATGGCCATTCGTGGCAGTCTCGAAATGACCAGGGTTACAAGGACAGCCAATGGTCTTCTACCAGGAGTAAGCCATTTGTGCAGGGTCCATTCTATCCGTCAGCCTCTGTTCGAAATCCTACAGCCGCCGTTGAATACACGGATTCCACTCGCACGCAAAGTAAATATGGTCTGGATCCCTCATCCAAGGAATCGACTGCCCGATATGATTCCTCGCGTTCCTTTCCAGCTCTTAAATATGCTGCACCATCTTCTAGTTCATTCTCTGGTCACCCAGGTCGTGACCGTCATCCTGATTTTGCTCCCCGAGGTGTCCCAGTTGGCGTGTCTAAGCAGGAGTTTCCATCGTCTGCTGTCCACAAAGGATCATCTCTTCCAGCTAACTCTCGCGGTGCCTTGCTTCATGATTCCCCTCGTCCTCAATATGGTTCCAACCTATATCCCAAGTTTGAATCATCGTATCCAAACCCTCCATGCCCACAATACAACCAGACCCCATCATCCAAGTTTGAATCTTCATATCCAGGCATCTCAGCCCCCCAATACGACCGAAGACCTGACCCGATGCCGTTATCTTATCCCAACCCCCCGCAATATAAGCCAATCCCTTCTCCCAAGCGTGATTCACCATATCCAAACCATTCACGTCCTCAGTATAACCTCACCCAATCTGCCAAGTTTGAATCGCCCCATCCCGATCCTTCACGGCCCCAATACAACCCAACGCCGCTTTCCAGGATTGATTCAACATATAATGATCTCTCACGTCCCCAATACAGTCAAGCACCATCTGCGAAGTTCGAGTCATCGCTTCGTGGTCCCTCTCGTCCGCAGTACAGGCCAACTCCAGTTGCTGCATCAGAGTCGTTCAATCGCAATCTTTCTCGACCCCAGTGCGGCCCGATCCGTTATCCATATTCCAACCCCTACCCTGAAAAAGAAATGTTTCCGAAGTTGTTTCCCGAGAAGCAACAGGTCCCCTCTGCTGCTTATTCATTTGGACGCGAGCTGCATCGACCTCAAGAAACGTCGGCTTTGCGTCATCAGCAGTGGATCCATGAAGAACGACAGGCTCTGCTCTCTGTCAGGGAACGTCAAAGCAATCTCGGCAACACAAACCAGAATTTGTTTCAGCACCGTTCACAAGCTTTTCAAGCTCCGTCTTTCCGGGAAAAGATGTATCCAGAGGACGATGCATATGATCCCAGCAATCCCCTCCCTGATTAGACATGTATAGGTTGTTCCAGGCGAATTACTGCCGCAATCTGCTTTCAGAGTATGAATTCAATAAGTTCGTCATGTTCCTTTGTGCAGTTTCTCTCGCTATCTGCTATATCAAGGGCCTGAGCAAGAGGGAATGTCTCCATGGGACTCTCATGGGTGTATGTAACAGGTGATTACATTCATTTGAACTATTCAGATGATTTTAGGATGTTGGATATGATGGGCCATTCTTGGGGATTCCTTTCTGGGATTGGTCTGACCTAATGGTCAGAATCTGATGTGGACACGTGAAGATATTTCTATTGTTCTGTTGTTTGTTTCCTTTTATTTTCAATAAAACACACTGGGGCACATACCTTGGACTTCAACTTCACTTCGTTTCATTTTGGACCACAAGCACAGAGGCTCAATAGGGATCGGTATTCAGGAAAAGTTAATCTGATATTGGCAGTAAAAGCATTCACTGTGAGCACGTTGGACTTGTTGCTGGAAGGAGTCCTTTTTGAATTGTGTCAAGTGAAAGCCCCCACTACAAAGCTACTCTGGTTAACATGGTTTTTTGTCATGTGGCTCACCTGGGTTGTCCTGACGGCTGACAGCCTGTCCGTGGTTGCATGTGAAGTGGTTGGGGTCTCTGAGAAACTTCGAAGTGAAAAGTTTTCCTAAGCTTGAGGCCTCCAATGACTTCTGAGATGAGACCACTAAAAGTTAATGGGCTGGATAAGATGCTCTTCACGTCTATATGAACAGAACTAATGAGATGAAAACTCTGAGAATTTATTTTTATCGACAAATATTAGCTAAGTCAAATGTGATTACTTTGCTCAATTTAAGTATACTTTCAGGAATTTCCAAAAATAATCGTCTCGCCTTACTATTTATTCAGGCTTCGAAGCAATGATGCTAATGTTCGTCCTCGGCTTGTAGCAGGCCCACTTTTTGTGTATCTAAAATTGGCAAATTTATTTGCTATTGCGGATGTCATCACACACTGCCAAAAAAGTTGGTGGAGAACGGTAGAATTCCCGTAAAGACTTGCTTGAGTGATGGGTCTGAGCCCTAGGCTTAGAATATGATCGTTCCATCATTTGGCTGGTATCTCCAGTCTCATGGACACAAGGATGCTTTGCCTTCTGTCATTTCCTGCGGTCATACACAATTGCTCTTCCCTCGTATATTGATATATACAGGTACAATTAATGATCTTTTAACCATTGCCGTAGGCAACTCGAAAATAATAGACAAGACATGGATTCTCCTAGTACCTATTATGGACTGAGGAAGTCACCCTCCCTCTGGAGTCCGTCCATCAAATGAAGTGAGCCTTCGTTGTTCCCTACCAAAAGGAATGCCACAGGCACAAGTCGCCTAACGCAATTCAGCTGTAATGGTTCACTCCACGATAAGGCTAAGGTTGAGTACATCTGGGTCTAATAGTGCCATGGAGATCCAGAACGTGATACAAAAATAATCAAGATCACAGGCACAACGGAGTTTCTAGTGTCAACTTAGAAAAATACGAGCCAGGGACAGGGACTGACTTCGTCCCGAATCGACATTGTGGAAACTTCAGGAAGACGATGACCCGAAGCTCGAGTCGAATCTGACAGCAAAGTGAAGAACAGAGAACGGGGCCGGAAAACTCGTTCGGCCATTCGCGTCACCCGGCCTCAACCCTATCGAACATATGTGAAAACTACTCAAGATGTGTCTGCAAAAGAAAAAAAAACTCGTAACTCATCGGTCCCTGGCGTCTGCAATCAGGCGGGAGTGGAAGTCGCTCCCGATGAACTTGCCTATAAGACTTTTACAATGCATGAAAACTCGTGTATCTGAAGGCATTGAAAGTCAAAGTAGTTTTATATTGCATTAGTGGTCATGGTGTTATGTGTGCATGGATACAAGAAACTAACAATCGTTTCACCAGCTCGATTGATGAAGGTAGGGGGTTGGAGAATTATGAGAAATACGTTGGGAAACTTTGCCTCTCATCATTAGGTAAGCAGACGTCTTATCTGCAGTAGAATTAAGATATCACGGTATGTTTTGGAATGACGTTTCTCGGTATTAGGTAGTCCCCCTTGAACCCGTGTGTAGCTAAAAATTCATAACATTCTTGGCTTCCCTTCGTATCAAAAACGCAAGGAAAGAGTGTTTTGAGTTCCGCACACCGTCACAAATTCGGTGGAACGCGATCGGAACGCACCCGTTCCGTTCCGTCGGCGATGCGGAACCCGCGACTCCGGACCTCGTCCGACGGAACGAAAAGTGATTAGTTGATGGGGGCGAGCGAAACCGTCCTCGGGATGGAATTCGTGTGACAATTTTCGCATCCCGGGAAGGAAAAGCTTTGCTGCATGTCCGGTTCTCTGCCGAAGACCGGGGAAAAGATTGGAGCCTGGGATCTGGTGAAAATGCGAACGATTAAATGCGTGGTAGTAGGAGATGGAGCGGCCGACAAGACACTGCTCCTCCATTCCTATGCAGGCTACGACTCCTTTCCGGAATACGTTCCGACGTGTTTTAATAATAACGGTATCACCGTGATGATGAGGGGAGTACCTTACTCGTTAGACCTTTACGACGCTGCGGGACAAGCGGACTACGACCATTTGAGGCCTCTCGTCTATCCTCGAACGGATGTCTTCCTGGTGTGTTTCTCCGTCGTGTCTCCGTCGTCCTTCGAGAACGTGAAGGCGAAATGGGTCCCCGAGATCACTCGTCACTGCCCGAAGACCCCGTTCCTCCTGGTGGGGACGAAGACCGACCTAAGAGTCGACGGGGTCGCGCGAGGGGAGACGGCCGAGAACGAGCAGAAGCCCGTCACCGCGAAACGGGGCGACAAGTTGGCGAAGGAGCTGAAAGCCGTTAAATATGTGGAATGCTCTTTCCTCACTCGGAAAGGGCTAATAAATGTGTTCGACGAAGCCATACTTGCTGCCTTGGGATCGGCAGAACGCGCAAAAAGAAAAAGTTGGCGAAGGAGCTGAAAGCCGTTAAATATGTGGAATGCTCTTTCCTCACTCGGAAAGGGCTAATAAATGTGTTCGACGAAGCCATACTTGCTGCCTTGGGATCGGCAGAACGCGCAAAAAGAAAGTGCGTGTTGCTCTAGGGACTCCCCACTTCAAATCCTTCCCGCATCTTCTTTCTTCAGTTACTATTTCATTTTGTGCACATTTGGAACAGGTAACCATCCCCTGCGTTTTTTCGGGGTCACTCGGGATAGGTTTAAAATTGTTCCAGGTGGAAAAGTGAAATGGTGCAAGAGACACGGAAGTGATTTTATCGGTGTGCCCCCACCGCCAGTTTCCCAGAGTTTAAATTCGTCTATATGGGGAATGCAGGAGTTGGCGTCTGCCGTATTGAATGAAAGTCGAAAGCACGTTTTTCATTTAAAGGATTTGATCCTATTAACGCCGATCCAACGTTTGAAAACCGGTCACGAGTCGGTTTTAAAATAGTGACATTTTTCTAATCGAAGGCGACAGCTTTAGGAACGGGAAACATGCGCATTCACGTACGTTCAAATTTCGGAATTGGGACCCGTATTACGCTAGGTGAATCATAAGTTGGGAGGAGGAAGAGGGGGGGCGGGGGGTAAAGTTGTGCGGGTTCTCCTAAGGCCAAAGGGTTTTCAACCCCCATCACTCCCTTTCCTCCCCTTTACTTCTGTACACCACTGTGCGCAGGTGAAGAATGGAAGTTGTTTAACCGGTTGGGACACTCAACAACATCACCGGCGCTGCAATTATCAAATGAGCATCGTTTAAAGTATGCATGTTACTATGGGGAGCATTACATCCTCAGTAAACGGACGGTTCTATTCCAGGTGGAGATGTACCTTTCCTATCTGACCGATACGCATAAAAAATCTTGTCTTCGGTGCTTTTGGTGAATAAAGTGTCTTTTAAGTCCGAGGGGGTATATATGTTTTCAATAAGTTTGCCATTCCCATAGGCAGCATGGAGAAATGGCAGGTATTGCGATCGGTTTGTCACTTTTTTTTCATACCGTCTGTCCGCAGTAACCATGGCGACCGGTCAACATAACCAAGTGCGCACGCGCAGCTTTCCGCCTGGGTCGGGATGCCCATCTTCGACGAAAACATCCACTTCCCTTCCAGCCCTGGCGGTTGACAGATCCATAATAGACAGTGGAGGATGGCGGCTGCGCCCGGCCGCATTGACAAGGTTGCTAGGCGTACGCATGAAATGCGCATCTGGCATCCTACACATACTCTCCTCCCATCTTCTCGCAAAGCGGACGCGCGAACCATCGAGAATATGTCTAGCTTTCTGAGCCCTTTCATATAAGCCTACGACGTACCAAAATGACTGCAATTATTTATTTCAAGGGTGGATGGGTAGGATGCGGCGAATATGATAATTCCAGTTGAATGACATATCTGTACATGAGCTCTTCCTCTATAGTGTCATTTTTCGGTTATGTCTCATCCGCTTTACGATAGACAAGAAGGCAAAATTTGTCTGAAAAGGAAATGGCTCATTAGTCCTGTTGCCTCTCTTGCGGAAGCTCCGAAGACCGGTTCTAAAAGCCTTGATTCCACCTTAAATCAGGACGACATGACGCAAATCCAAACGAGCAGAAGTATTTCTGAGAGGACTATCAAAGGCGGTGAGAATCCTGTCAGCTTTCCGCGCCCAACTTCCTCCCCACACTTGTCGGGTGGCACGACAAACAATTTGGCACACAAGTGACAATTGAAAGGCTGAAAGGCGAAGTGGGTCTATCGGGAAAAAATTCTTTCCTCAACTTCCAAACGGAAAGAGTGAATATTCCATCGAATGGGATGTTAAAAATAAGGAAAAGTGGTATGTATCGATGGATCAGTTCATCTTTTATCTAATTCCATAAATCAATCATAAATCATAAATCATGAAAGGTTTTAGGATCACAAAACCAACTAAACTTCTTTCGGAAGTTTTTTTTTTGCCGATGGACCACTTTCCCTTTCAGCCCTTCAATCGAGGAAAACCGAGTTCCTTTTCTCTCCGACCCGCATGCCATTTTCCTATATAATAGGAATAAAAAATTCCACATAAAAGAGTAAATTTTTCGAGGTTCTGAACGCGTATCACAATTGTTTATGACGCAAGTGAGATCCCAGAATCTTGGGAACGAACGCAAAGGTCAGGACATTTCCTTTCTGCCGCTGCTTTCTGCATTCATCTTCAGAGAGCAGCACAGCCCAAAAATGGAATCATGCGGGATCTTGGGATCTCCGGCGAACGCCAAAATAAACGATCCAAGTGGCATCACGAGGTCGAACTCTTTCTTTTTTTTTTCCAGGTCGGCAGAACTGGTACCTAATGGGTTACGCAGATATATCAGCGGAATTCGAGGACCTCGTTTGACCCAACATCGGCAAAGCGAATCCAACCGACATCTCCTGGCCGTAAACGGGCCTCTCCATACACCGCGAAACGTCTCCCCGTTCTTTGAATCCTCTTCACTCTCGGGGGAAGGCTTCCTTCTCCGTGCAACAGATGAATCCGGCATCGAAGTAGTTCCATCGATATTCGGAAACCAATGATCCCATTGGTCAGTTCTGCGTAGTTCCGGGGCCAAACACCAGGGCAGGAGGTTTCCCCGACATCAAAGGCGCCGCCACAGAGTGCCCAGTCTTCTTAGTATAAGGTCTTTGGGGATGCCCATCTTCCACGAAAGCATCCACTTCCCTTCCAGCCCTGGCGGTTGACGGATCCATAGTAGACAGTGGAGGAGGGCGGCTGCTCCCGGCCACATTGGCAAGGTTGCTAGGCGTACGCATGAAATGCGCATCTGGCATCCTACACATACTCTCCTCCCATCTTCACATGCGTCTAGCGACAGACCGTCGCCGGCCAATCAGAACGCAGCTCCTGTCTGCGTCATGATTCACGGGCTATCCGCGTATAGATATCTCGAACCCATCTCCTAGACTCCCAAGTGGAAATATGGAAAACAATATGCTCATGGTGCCATGTGGTCTTCGGGAAAAGGTAAGCTGATCAAACTTGGATATATATATTTTTAATTCACTCTGTATTAGGTGTACTATTAATGAGTTATTTTTTTTTTAAGCATGGATTCTATAGTGTTCTAGTTCCTCATCTGGATCTGATGTCCTTTCCAGGACTCAAACATTTTTATTTTTAGTCCTTGTTCAAAAATGAGCAGTCAAGTGAGGGTGTCAAAATATTATGTCATGGGGACATTCGCTTCGAAAAATTAAAAAGTTTAAACAATGCAGAACAATTAGATAGGCCTCAGTACAACGTATGACTGTAGGTGTGACGAAGACAAACGTGTGTGAAAAGGTTCATGTAGGAGCTCTCAAAATTTAGTTTCACTTAAACCGACTGGACGTTTTTTCCAAGTTTATCTTAGAATAGAATAAAAATTAAAATAATTTAAACAATGTCGCCTTTCAGGCTGGTGCTCATGAATAAATATTATTAATAGCATTTTTGACCTTGGATTCAACAAAGGAAAACCTTTCAAATGATATACAGGGTGTCCAAAGTTACTATATACAAAATTCTAAAAATTTCTTCAGCTGAATATGCGGTCAGTGATAAACCAGGCCTAAGTCCATCACTCAGGTCTCTCATGCCAAAACAATGAAAGGTGTCGCGTCCAAGGGCCAGTTGCAGTTAAGTCAGACTTTCGCGCAAAGTCTGACTTTGGGAGCCTGCATATCATGCTTCCTAAGTCTGACTTTGGGAGCCTGCATATCATGCTTCCTAAGTCTGACTTAACGGAAACTTTGACTTTACTGAGGCAGTACAACTGACCCCAGGTTCTACACACGGCTGCGCAATCAGCAATGGTCACGTCGAGTATTCAAGTGTGGTGATGAATGTGGAACTCATACCTTGCGCATGCGCAAAGGGATCACATTCTGATTGGCCGGCAACGGTCTGTCGCTAGACGCTTGTCCATCTTCTCGCAATGCGGACGCGCGAACCATCGAGAACATGTCTAGTTTTCTGAGCCCTTTCATATAAGCCTACGACTTGCCAATGACTGGAATTATTTATTTCAAGGGTGGATGGGTAGGATGCGGCGAATATGATAATTCCAGTGGAATAGGGGCCAGTGGAATGCCACATCTGTACCTGAGCTCTTCCTCTATAGTGTCATTTTTCGGTTATCATGTCTCATCCGCTTTACGATAGACAAGAAGGCAAATTTTGTCCGAGAAGGAAATGGCTCATTCGTCCTGTTGCCTCTCGCGGAAGCTCCGAAAACCGGTTCTAAAAGCTTTCATTCCAACTTGGATCAGGACGACATGACGCAATGACAGACGCAAATCGAAATAAGCAGAAGTATGTCTGAAAGGACTATCAGAGGCGGTCAGAATCCTGTCATGCGATTGATGTCGCGGAGCTTTCCGCGCCCAACTTCCTCGTCACACTTGTCGGGTGGCACGACAAGCAGTTTGGCACCCAAGTGACAATTGAAAGGCTGAAAGCAAAAAATTCTTTCCTCAACTTCCAAACGGAAAGAGTGAATATTCCATCGAATGGGATGTTAAAAATAAGGAAAAGTGGTATGTATCGATGGATCAGTTCATCTTTTATCTAATTCCATAAATCAATAATTTTCTATGAAAGGTTTAAGGATCACAAAACCAACTGAACTTCTTTCGGGAGTTTTTTTTTGCCGATGGACCACTTTACCTTTCAGCCCTTCAATCGAGGAAAACCGAGTTCCTTTTCTCTCCGACCCGCATGCCATTTTCCTATATGATAGGAAAAAAATTCCACATAAAAGAGTAAATTTTTCGAGGCTCTGAACGCGTATCACAATTGTATATGACGCAAGTGAAATCCAAGAATCTTGGGAACGAACGCAAAGGCCACGACTTCTCCTTTCTGCCGCTGCTTTCTGAAGAGAGAAGCCCAAAAATGGAACGAATGCGGCATCTTGCGGTTGTGGGATCTCCAGCGAACGCCAAAATAAACGATCCAAGTGGCATCACGAGGTCGAACTCTTTCTTTTTTTTTTTTTTCCAGGTCGGCAGAACTGGTACCTAATGGGTTACGCAGATATATCAGCGGAATTCGAGGACCTCGTTTGACCCAACATCGGCAAAGCGAATCCAACCGACATCTCCTGGCCGAAACGGGCCTCTCCATACACCGCGAAACGTCTCCCCGTTCTTTGAATCCTCTTCACTCTCGGGGGAAGGCTTCCTTCTCCGTGCAACAGATGAATCCGGCATCGAAGTAGTTCCATCGATATTCGGAACGATGAATCAGCACTCCCGTCCTCCGGATTTGCACAGAACTCATAGCATGCGAATGCGAATGGGACGAAACGCAAGCTTTTCGAAATCCATGCATGTGCCCCGATACGGAAACTCTATCTTTCATAGATTCGCTATCTCACCTCCACTTGGCCAATGCGAGTCAGTTTATCGTGATGTGACACTCTTTTTCCTTCCATGTTTGAGTTCTCGCGCTCCTTCGTTGTTGACAGTGTTAAACGTTCCTTCGCCTTCATACTTTGCGAAGTAAGCAATTTTCGTTCGATGCAATAATTTATTAAGTCGTAACAAATATTTTGATGGCCCTTCATGCCCATAAATTTTGCAAATTTTCCTCAATGCTTCTGCACACTCCTTGGTCACTTGGCGGGGTAAGGGAAACGGGTCACAGCCAGTGAATTGAATCTTCATCTCGGGGCACGGGGCGCTGCGGCAGGTTGTTAAGTACAGACAACAAATTTTTGATCAAATTCGCTTCCTAGCGTCCCGCGCCTGACGACTATCCTTTCAGAAACTCTTTCTTCCTTCGGGAGAAAAGGTTCGTGCATGTTCACGGCCGAGAAAGAAATATCCCGCAACCGAGTCTGATAATTAATTTATTACTTAAGTGTCTAAAGGTTACCAGGTTGTTCAACAAAAATATGGAGAAGCAAAAATGTTGTTAGTTTAGAAGATTCACAATCAACAAATATGGAGCTACCCGGTTCCCGAGCAAACGCACGTAAGAGAGAGAGATTTCGAATCTATCGGGAGACCTACTCTTTCGGATCGAACTGGGGCACTAACACTCTGGTCGGACTCGAGGAGGGAAGAACTCCACTATCAAGGGCAGGGCCGACTATACCGGTAGATTGAGCACCTGTGTCTTCTCCCGTTCTTGTTTGGTCCCCTATCCGTCACGCTGACCCTGAGTAGCATGCAGACGTTAGATTGAACAATTAATTTCCACCTCGTATAGCGTCCTAGCTCGTCGGATGTGGATGGAAAACCATATGCAAAAATTCATGGTTTACTATCACCAACATGAAATTTTTTTTCTCCTGATCTTGTCACCTACATGAATTAGGATCGGAAGAGAAAAAAACAAATACAGATGCGGTAATCAGTTTATTATGCTGGTATCTCACAAATTTGTTTGTATTATTTTTTTTTGCCAGACGAACTCTACAAAAAAAAACCACCACGAATCCTAATTGCATTCTGGAAGACATCAATGATGGCAACCGAGAAGATAATCAAGAATCGTATACTCGTTCTCCTTGAGTTTGAAACATTCGAGAACTTCACGAGAAATTTACCAAGGGAACGTGTAAGATGTTCGCATCTGGATTTTTAGCTACGCGTCTGTCTCGTGTACACTTCGGAGTGTACACGTTCTTTTCCGTGAAGCAACGATGGAATAAATAATGACTCATTCCAACGTAGAAACTACACTCTCAAGAGCCACTAGAAAAAATGGAGTCTGGAAGAAAAACACTCATTACTTTTCTGTGTCACATTAGCAGCGGAAATGATCAGCGTTTCCATACAGCTTCACTCACGTCACTGCACTCGTCAACCGACGACGAAGCTCGTAATTCAGTTGAGCCTTTGTATTAAGTAAAACTTTTCATTTGTGTTTGACTCAGTTTTTCATGTGCAAAACTGATTAGATGAAAGTTCCATAAGCAGAAAGCGCGAACGCGACAAGTGAAAATAAGACCGCATTTAGTACACTACATGGGGGTAGGATTTTGAAGAGCGAAAAGGTAGAAGGGAAGAAGGAAAGCATATCCCTGTCCCGGTCACACGTCCAGGCGGCGAGACAGGGCGCCAGGCGAGTGCCTGGCACCTCCTGGCACGAGAGTCTGGAAGGGGAGGGGTGAAGGGGAAATAAGGAGAGAGAATGTGCGAGAGGATGTGCGTGAATCCTGTCATGACGTTTTAGACGGAAAAAAAAGCAAAAAACAAACTTAAAAGTAGATAAAGTTTCACCATTCGAAAACCCATGATCCTAGAAAGACGATTCAAGTACCATCTGAATCGTGGGTCGTCCTGCCACATTCTGCGCGGAAACAGCATGGGGTATTATGCGAGGGAGAAGGGATGCAGGGGAAAACGTGACCATTTCCTGCAGGATTCTCCGACTTGGCATCAGTCAAATCACTATAAATCGGAGATTTATGAATATTTTGCCATATAATTGGGCAGAGCCCTTCATGACAGTCGTCTCTAAATATCGATATACAAAACTCGCAGCATCTCCTATTCGTTCCCGAGTAATCCGGGTCCGAAGATCAACATAGCTAAAACGTTGCGATTTTCGAGAGTATTTTCAGATGGCACGCGAAAACTGTCAATAAGATTTGAACGCCACTTTGCATGAAGATGCAACTGGTCATGATGCAAAATCGCATGCATGGAATTCTCGATGCGTTGCCTACGACGGATTTGGGAGGGGCAAACGAGTGGCGCGACGAGACGAGATTTTCGCAAAATTCGTTCCCCATCCCGAACCCGTGGTAGCATCATCAAGAATTTTACATCATTGTTTAGAGTAGAATCTAAGGAAGAGAATTAGGCTAATTTCAAAGTTCTGCGTGGAAGGATGCCGGAGATAAACGCCTCTGAAGAGACCAATCGAAATCGTGACCTTTGACCCTACTTTCTGGCCACACCGGTGACCTTAGAGTCTCGAAAAGTGGCTCTTGGGCCCTCCTTCGAGGTCACTAACAATAATTATAGAACGGAATTTTGATCCAGGGGGGTGCAATTTTTATCTTTTATATGTACCTTAAGGCTCCAGGTTGGCTAGCAATTAAATTCGACAAATATCGGCTGCGGGCAAAAATTGCTTCGGCAATATTGCCAATTTTGGCGAAGCAATATCTCCCTAATAATGCCAGGGCATTATTGATTCCGTATCGAACGGATGAGACAATCCAATGTGCCTCAGTTCCACTTGAAAGCATCCTAGAAATGAAGTTCTCATCTAGACCACTAGGTGGCAGCATGGTTTTCGCTTTCCAGAGAGGACCCAAAAGTACCCTTCCATCCTTCTTTAGATTCGTCTTTCACAGTAGTACATATTACTTCTTTATAAATTTCGTCATGTCTCAAAGGCAATCGATCGAAACTGTCATTTCTTCTTTAATTATATCGATACATTTGAGATAGATGCATGGAGTTCAGGAATTAATCAAGTTAATGCGGTCAATAAGAAACCCTGGCTTCAACATGAAAACCTCATCTGAGTCTTAAGAACTTCGAAACGATGTACTAGTGATCGTAAACTTCAGTCTTCACTACCTCTTTCGGGCAGTGGGACAATCCTAATGGTTTGAGTTCGTGTATATTACTCGTGTATAGCAATTGTCGTTCGATGCAATAATTAAGTCATTAAGTTGTGAATAATTTTTTGATGACCCTGCATGCTCATGAATTCTGAAAATTTTCTTAAATGATTCTGCACACTCCTTGGTCACTTGGCGGGGAAATGGCTTGAACGCCAAGTATGGGTCACAGCCAGTGAATCGAATCCTCATCTCAAGGTCACTGATCTCTGCCCGCAGAAAATTCTGAGTGAAATGAAAAATGCAGTTTTTGCCTTCCACTCGGAAGTTCTTTCGGTCGCCCTAGATCCTCTCGGGCAGATGATCTCATCGTGTGTTCGGTGGAGTGGAAAAAAAAAATATATTTTATGTATCATCTCAAATGCGGTTACCGGTCAAACTTGAGGGTCTGTGGATTTTTTACCATTTGGCAAATATTCTTCACATCTTTAATGCAATTTGATCTCCTGAAACATCTTTTAAATCTGTTTTCTGTTATTTCCTCTATATCTTTTATTTCTGAAATTGAAAATAATTGATAAGGATACGACATGCTACAACTACTATCTGTTACCCCGAATGGTCAAATCTTAAAAGTCTACAATAGGATTTGGCAAGGAATATTTATATTTCAAATTAAGCCTTGGTGTTACAAACAGAGATTAGGAAAAAAAGATTAGATATGACTTCCATTTTCACTAAAATGTGGGAATCAAATTGAAAAGTGATGAACTCCCGAGTCAAGATTCTAAACTCTGACTCGACACTAACCGCTCCTTTAACAGGTCTTCAGTTGACATGTGGACTCAGATTAAACCAGTTCCAATTCCAATAACAGGATTGCAGTACAGTAATACTTCGTTAGTTGGGGGGGGGGGGATTAGCCGAAAGTACGGACAATCCAAAAAATATAGATATAACTCATTACACAAGTAAATGAGGCATGGTAAACCAACAAAATAAAAAAAACAGTACTTGATATCAACTTTGTAAATGCTAAAAGAGAGAAGTAAATAAAAAATTTGCCATACATTTCCTGAGACCTCCATATAAAAAATTGATGTTTTTGTCCTTGTTTGCACCCACCGGAAACAAATGTTCCCCTTTAGATCGTGGACACGTGGACTACGAGCGTAACGTCTGCGTGGAATTAACCTCCGAAAACCATCATGGCCCTAAGAGAGGTGAGTAATGAAACACTTCCATGTCCTTCACCTCACGTAACGTAAACGGCATAACAAAGTGGATTGCCAGGTTGGAGCGGAGGGGATCGACGGCACGGATGAGGTCCTTTTCCCGGAATTCGTGACGGAAGCGGCCCGACGGAGGACCTTTCGCACCTGGCTCAAAAGCTCGCCGATTAAGCCACAAGATCTGGTCGATGCTGGCTTCTTCTACACCGGTAGATAAGAATTCCTATTGTCGTATTACGTTTTCCTTTAGGATTGTATTTCCAGAACACTGCTCGGGTTGAAGAATCCTGCATCACGAATGCAACCAAATCAAGTGCGCTGCCGTGTCCATCCTCGAGAAAGAACCTAATTGACGTCGATGAAGCAGAGCTTAGGTTTCTAGCCGACTGTTATTTAGGTAGGCGATGAAAGATGCTAGCGGGTGCCCTAGCCATTTCGACCTTCCTTGCCACCGAGTCTGACGGTCCTCGCCCTCGACCCTCGTTGCAGGTAGATCAGACCGCGTGAGGTGCTTCCACTGCGGCGAGGGGCTGAGGGCATGGGAGCCTGGGGAGGATCCGTGGACCGAGCACGCGCGCTGGTCTCCCCAATGCGGTCACGTGATTCGGATGAAGGGCGAGGAATTCGTCGCCCAGGTTCAACGTGGATTCTTGACCGGCGTGGACGAACTTCCCAGTCGTGTCCATGAGGTTCTCCTGTCCTTTGTTCTTTCCTTTCCTTGCATACCGAGGATGTGACCTTTGTAGGCTTCGATTATTTTTGAATCGCGGAATTGATTCAGCGCAAACGCCTGGGTGCCACGGGTGATTGAACGGACTTAAGAATCCCCATAATGAAACGGGTCAGAAATGAGACATTTAAGCCTATTATCTTCGGCAACACTGTACTTCCAGAGTGCAAGGTTCAAATAAATCTAATATGTAGTTCCCCCTCCTTTTCATCTTCTTAATATTCAACTAAAAGAAGAAACGGATCGTCATCGTGATCTTGGAGACCATGATAAGCGATCAGGTACGACAAGAATGGAATTTTAAGATATTTGAATGAAGAAAAATGGCCTTCGGTGTCCAACGATTGACCGCTTCGACAACAAAAACGGTATAAAAAATGGTCTGTAGCAAACCATTTTTTTTTCTCTAGAGGCTGTATCTTTGCGCTCTGTAGAGCGAACTGTGCAATTGATCAATTTTTGGAAAGCTCTGGACGAAAACTTCCGATTATATCTTCTTCTTTCTGAAAAAAATCCCACTAAAAAGCTGGAATTGTATGAGGATTTTTTTCCCCGTTTCTTATAGGCGTCATAGATATGTACCAAGTATGGCTTTTGTCTCTCTCTTCCTTTCCTTTTTTTCGTTGCTTCCTCAAAAATTTCCCGTATGGAAGCACCGCTAGCTGTTTGATCGAATTTATTTCTAGTGAAAAGAGGAAAATAATTAATGAGTAGGAATAGCCACAAAGTTAGGCAACGTTTCAGCGTATAATGGACGTTTCATGTGCGTGGGATCGCGAAAATAAGCATTGTGAAGTCATCGACTCCACTAATGAATTCGTGCATTTGTAATTCTCCAGGGACGTGACCAGACCGACTCGGCGATTCACGAAGAGCAGGAATTGAGTGGACTGCTAGCACAACTATGGCCAACGAGCGGCACGGTAGACGATCCGGAAAACTCGTGTTCCCAGAGGAAAAACGACGAGTTCGACAAATTCGGGGAATTCGTGGCAGCTCAGCTGCGAGCGATGCCCGTCGAGCGCGCCCTTCTCGCTCAGATCGAGGTGCAGGAGGTCCTCCAGAGAGTCCGGCTGACGCGGGGGCACGTCCCTCTCGCTCGCACTGATCCTCGACCTTTTCCGTAGTCGATGAAAAATGGGGATGATTTGCACGGTCGACGGCGAGATCCATCTTCGTCCGGACTGATTTCGTGTCTGTTCGTCTCGTGCAAACTGCTGACGACTTTGTGGACTTTCAGATGGGAATAAGTTTTCAGTATCTAAACTCTGTTTCCCAGGAAACTCAACGTGAAAATCAGTATTAACTTATTAGTGTCCATCTTGGCTTTATTAGCAAACGGAACATAACCTGACTTCTTCAGGTATTTCATTACATATTGGTCCCATCACTTAATCGCATGTCACTCCCTGAGAAGGGATGCCATCTCGAACGCGGAGGGGAATGCGTCCTTGCTTTCCGTCAGCCGTCTCGTTTGAGGATGCAATTGGTTTTTTGGATGTGTACTGATTGGCTAGTGGTCGCTACGTTACTCGCTTTTATTCATGCCAATCATTCTCATTAAATGGATGCAAACTTGTATTGATGCTCTGATGGTGGACGACTATTTCCCCCTCGTAAAAAAAGAATTTGAAAATGTTTGTGTGCATCATTTCTACTGCCAAAAACCATCATTCACTGAGGTCTATTTTCAATTTTATAAAATAAAGATCATACTTAATTGAAATTTTATTCCTAAAAAGGGTCCATTGTCCTAAGCTAGTGCTGCACCGATGCTGGCCATTCAGTTATGATCATGGATGTTCTGTGTTTTTTTTGTGAGTGGATGAAAAGGCACATCATCTCAACAAAGCTTCCCCATTCCTGTGTTCAGCAAAGTACTAAGTAAGACATCGCCTAAGGTTAACTTTGAAAATACCTAAATTTAAAAAATGGAATGAATTAATAAACTTCCGATCGGTGGAAAAAATTGAGTTTTGCTTCTCAACCTTTGCAGAAGTCACAATGCACTGCAGTCAGTATTGGAAAGTTGCATCCAATCTAAAAGGTTTCATCTTCGGAGTGCTTCCCCAGACATGGTTTTATTTTTATTTTTCACTTATACCTGTCTTAACGTTCGAAGTGGATCACTATCAATTTCGAGGGTAGCGACGGAGGTGATGATATTTTTCTGCATGCTTTGTTTTCCTTCTTTTATCAAAATGTCGTTAATTGTGTAAACAATACTCACGATTGGATCAAGCTCCTCTGAGGTCCGCTAAGAAGGCGTTGCGGAACCCTTTCATCCCAAGGGGAACGCTCCACTGCCTAGGGGCACCCTTTCCTTTTAATTTGCATTGCCCGTGGCGATGAGGAGCACCATCTGTTGATCGGGAGGCCAAGACGGAAAGTTTATTGAACCCACATTACCAAAAAGCCAACAATGGCCGCCTGGCAACGTCGGCAGATCATCGGCAATGGCAGGCATGCCTGGCCCATTCCTGGCTCCAGCTTGGCTAGCCATTTTTCGTTACTTCATTAGTGGAGGACATTCGCCCACTCACGGAACAAGACTGGTTTCCTATTTGCAACATTGACCAAGGACGCCGTCCCAATTAAGGCTCCAGGTTGGCTAGCAATTAAATTCGACAAATATCGGCTGCGGGCAAAAATTGCTTCGGCAATATTGCCAATTTTGGCGAAGCAATATCTCCCTAATAATGCCCTGCCATTATTGATTCCATATCGAACGGATGGGACGATGCAATGTGCCTCAGTTCCACTTGAAAGTATCCGAGAAATGAATTTCTCATATAGACCACTAGGTGGCAGCATGGTTTTCGCTTTCCAGAGAGGACCCAAAAGTACCCTTCCACCCTTCTCTAGATTCGTCCTTCACAGCAGTACATATTACCTCGTTATAAATTTCGTCATGTCTCATAAAGGCAATCGATCGAAACTGTCATATCTTCGTTAATTATATCTATATTTGAGATAGATGCATGGAGTTCAGGAATTAAGGACGCGAATGCGGCCAATAAGAAACCCTGGCTTCAACATGAAAAACGGATTTTGGTAGCAGCTCGCTATGAGTTCACTGCCTTCCCATGCCCCAGCTGCCGGGGGGTAGAACTCCCGGCAGCTAGAACTGCCTTTTTCAAGGCTTCCCAGTACCTGGTTTCCGAGCGACTCGCTCGGGATCTTCCTACCCTCTCTTCGTCTTTTGGTTTCTCTCTCCAGCCTGTTCCTCGTCTAAACACCGCTCCCTTTTCTAAAGTCATTGTTTAGCTGCTCCTTTTCTCTCTACTGTTCATAACTTTCATATCTTGTCTCCTCTGCTCACCCCTTGACTCGTTCTCTTGTCCCCCTTCTCTCCCACACTCACGCACTTCACTCTCCCCCCTTCTTTCCCACGCTCCTTCCTCACGCATCTCTTACCCCTCTGAGTTCGACTTCCCATAAAAACAAAAGGAAGAAAATAGTTTTACAGCAATTAACACATTTGTTATGAGTGCTAACCTAGTTCGAGGAGACTCCAGGCGATTCTTCCGCAACGCCTTGGGAAAGTAGGGTTCCCCTTGCGAGGTGAAACTAGGGGCACCCTTTCCTTTTCATTTGCATTGCCCGTGGCGATGAGGAGCACCATCTGTTGATCGGGAGGCCAAGACGGAAAGTTTATTGAACCCACATTACCCAAAAAGCCAACAATGGCCCCCTGGCAACGTCGGCAGATCATCGGCAACGGCAGGCATGCCTGGCCCATTCCTGGCTCCAGCTTGGCTAGGAATTTTTCGTTACTTCATCAGTGGAGGACATTCGCCCACTCACGGGACAAGACTGGTTTCCTATTTGCAACATTGGCAAAGGACGCAGTTCCAGGTTGGCTAGCAATTAAATTCGACAAATATCGGCTGCCGGCAAAAATTGTTTCGGCAATATTGCCAATTTTGGCGAAGCAATATCTCCCTAATAATGCCAGGGCATTATTGATTCCATATGGAATGGATGGGACGATCCAATGTGCCTCAGTTCCACTTGAAAGCATCCTAGAAATGAAGTTATCATCTAGACCACTAGGTGGCAGTATGGTTTTCGCTTTCCAGAGATGACCCAAAAGTACCCTTCCACCCTTCTCTAGATTCGTCCTTCACAGCAGTACATATTACCTCTTTATAAATTTCGTCATGTCTCAAAGGCAATCGATCGAAACTGTCATTTCTTCATTAATTATATCGATATTTGATATAGACGCATGGAGTTCAGGAATTAATGAAGTTAATGCGGTCAATAAGAAACCCTGGCTTCAACATGAAAATTTCATCTGAATCTTAAGAACTTCGAAACGATGTACGATTTTAAACTTTAGTCTTCACTACCTCTTTCGGGCAGTGGGACAATCCTAATGGTTTGAGTTCGTGTATACTACTCGCGTCTAGCAATTGTCGTTCGATGCAATAATTTATTAAGTCGTGAAAAATATTTTGATGGCCCTGCATACTAATGAATTCTGAAAATTTTCTTCAATGATTCTGCACACTCCTTGGTCACTTTCCGGGGAAATGGCTTAAACGCCAAGTATGGGTCACAGCCAGTGAATTGGATCCTCATTTCAAAGTCGCTGATCTATGCCCGCAGAAAATTCTGAGTGAAATGAGAATGCAGTTTTTGTCTTCCACTCGGAAGCTCATTCGGTCGCCCTAGATCCTCTCGGGCAGATGATCTCATCGTGTGTTCGGTGGAGTGGAAAAATATATATATTTAATTTATCATCTCAAATGCGGTTACCGGTCAAACTTGAGGGTCTGTGGATTTTTTACCATTTGGCAAATATTCTTCACATCTTTAATGCAATTTGGTCTTCTGAAACATCTTTTGAACCTTTTTTTTCTGCTGTTTCCTCTATATCTTTTATTTCTGAAATTGAAAATAATTGATAAGGATACGACATGCTACAACTACTATCTGTTACCCCAAATGGCCACAATGCAAATCTTAAAAGTCAACAATTGGATTTGGCAAGGAATATTTATATTTCAAATTAAGCCTTGGTGTTACAAACAGAGATTAGGAAAAAAGATTTGACATGACTTCCATTTTCACTAAAATGTGCGGATCAAATTGAAAGGTGATAAACTCCCGAGTCAAGATTTTTAACTCTGAGTCGACACTAACCGCTCCTTTTACAGGCCTTCAGTTGACATGTGGATTCAGATGTAACCAGTTCCAATTCCAATAACAGGATTGCAGTACAGTAAAACCTCGCTGGGTGGGGATGGGGGGGGGGGGGGGTTAGCCGAAGGTACGGACAATCCGAAAAATATAGAAAAAACACATTACACAAGTAAATGAGGCATAATAAACCAACAAAATAAGAAGCAGTACGTTATATTAACTTTGTAAATGCTAAAAGCTAGAAGAAAGGAAAAATTCGTCAGACGCTTCCTCAGACCTCCGCATATAAAATTGATGTTTTGGTCCTTGTTTGAACCAACCGGAAGCAAATGTTCCCCTTTAGATCGTGGACACGTGGACTACGAGCGTAACGTCTGCGTGGAATTAACCTCCGAAAACGATCATGGCCCTAAGAGAGGTGAGTAATGAAACACTTCCATGTCCTTCACCTCACTTAACGTAAACGGCATAACAAAGTGGATTGCCAGGTTGGAGCGGAGGGGATCGACGGCACGGATGAGGTCCTTTTCCCGGAATTCGTGACGGAAGCGGCCCGACGGAGGTCCTTTCGCACCTGGCTCGAAAGCTCGCCGCTTAAGCCACACGCTCTGGTCGATGCAGGCCTCTTCTACATCGGTAAGTTAGAATTCCAATTATCGTATTACGTTTTCCTTTAGGATTGTATTTCCAGAACACTGCTCGGGTTGAAGAATCCTGCATCACGAATGCAATGTTTAGTTCACGCGACGGCACAGGTAGGAGCTCTTTCTTGGATTAACTGCAGCTACTTCGTCTCGAATCCAAAGATCGGCTGACAATAAATCCATCCGCTACTTTCTACGATCGCCCACGGGATCGGATTTCGACCTTCCTTGCCACCGAGTCTGACGGTCCTCGCCCTCGACCCTCGTTGCAGGTA